AAACAAGATCTTTATATCCTTTCTTTGCTAAATATTATACAAAACAAAGCCAGAAGTCCAAAATTAGCCTTCATTAAATGCATTTTCCAAGCTGCAGGTTCCAAGTATTTTTCTGCCACAAGACAGTTTAATCCTGCTCCACAGTCACTTCCCCACTCTAGAACTTCGCCACATGAGAATACACCACAATCTGTAGCCTGTGAGTAACCAGAGAGACTCCTGATGTCACATCTAAACTACTTCAGGGCTGTGGAGTTTGAGGGTTTGTCTTTGTTTGTTTGTTTGTTCTGTGCTCTGTGATGACCTCTAAACCAGTGATTTCTCCTCACAATAAAGGGCAATTTATATTTTTGTGCTTCAATTTAAAGTACTGATAAAATTCACTGAGAAATGTCAGGTACCAACTGTAGTCACAATGTACAAGTGATAAAGACCCTACAGTTGTTTCCAGATACTGTTTCCAATCCTTTTTTCCTTCCAGGAATAAGTTTCTTTGGAGTAACTGCCATTTTTAAATGCATCTTTGTTTTCAGTTTACTTTTACTTCTTCCTTTCAACATTTTCAATAAGCTTCTCATCAGACATAGATTTAGCAATAATTCACACACATATATTCCACCAGGATTCCAAGCTCCTCGAGATTAGTTAAGATCACTGTCAACTTTGGAGTTGCAACATTAATTCTGAAACACCAAGTTGTCATGATGTACCAGGACAAAATGGACAGAGAACCAAGACCACTGTTCTGAATGTCAGCCAACTATCTTTTAGTTCTGCAAAAATTATCCTAAGCTGCTACACATTCTAGCCTTTCTTCAAGGACCAGAAGTCCAGTCCAAATTTCTTAAATAACACAGCAGCAGCAACTGCTTTAAGAGCTTGCATGAAGCAGGCCTGAAGGCTCTCATTAACATCCAGTGCACACAAATAAGTCCCAAAGGAATTGAAGCACAGTAGTTCTTTCCTGATGCTTTCATACAATTATAACCATAATATTTCATCATAACTACTACACTTTAGTTCCTAGAACTCCACAAATAATGAAGTGGAACAGTGTGATCACACTTCTGCAAACCAGATACTTTAAAAGAATTCTCCATCTAAAAAATTCACGCTTGTTGGTTGGAGAAGATGAAGCATGTAGATCAACTTCTGACCCTACCGAAGACTCATGGAGTGCCTTAGGGCAGTCATATACCTGATTATTCATTTGCAAAACATGATTGCACATATATTCTACCCACTTCTGGTTTGAGGAATTTACATTCTAAGTAGGTAAATTACACAAGATAATATTAAACAATGTTTGCATTCAAGAGTGCCAACTGCTGTAGACTTCAAGGCACTTTTCTTATACAGAGAACTAATTAATCATCAGCTACAGAACATCACTTTCAGTTCAGTAGGGTAGAATAGCACATCTCGGTGACATTCCTGCTGAAAATGGGAACAAAGTAGGAAATGAAAAGGACACATGTAAAGACATTTCTCACTGAGAAACAACGACTGTATTCTCAGGTGTTTCTCACCATGCACCTGAGATTGGGATGAGCATTCCCATATGCCTAACTATTTCAGAATTGCTTTTTAAGTATTTGTTCTGGGGAAGTTTTAAAACTCCTCATGTAAATCTTTCTGGAACACTTCATGGAAAAATTATCTTGCCTAGTTTTGGGAGTATCTTTGGGGGGAAAAAAAACCTACACTACTAACTGTATCTTGCTGTAGGAATTTCAAATTTTACCTTTGTGCTAATGTCTTTTAAATTTGCCTAAAGAAAAAAAAATATCACAGGCAACATGCTCTTTTAAGACTTCAACCTGCAGTAGTATCATGCCTAAGCCTACCTTTAGCTTCAGAATACACACTATCTCAAAAGCACTTCAAGATTACAGAAACACAGACAAGTGACTGCTCTGGTGTGGTCCAGCACAGGCACAGAAAACTACAATACATGTCTGGCATTCAGATCCTATTCTTATTCTCCTATTAGGCAGAATCCTCTTCAAAAGGAGATGCTGCAGCTTGGGGCAGTCACTGACAGGCAAACAGAAGACTAAGCAATAAAAATCAATAATCTGCCAAGACTGTGATTATAAAAATGGCAAGACTTCATAAATTTATAAACACTGTAAAATTGAAACTGGCTAGTCAAACATCTAAAGCAACTCACGATGCAGTCAGATTAGATGAAGAAAATCCAGAGAGAAGGCCAGTTAGAGAGGCAGGAATATTTTTACAAGAATTCTGGAAGGAAGATCAGAGATTACACAGGGAAGGAACCTAATCCTGCACAACACACAGTGATAAGATTTGCCACCCAGGACTGTTCACTATTACATACTTTTTTTCTGTTTCTGTGATTTCATCACGTTCTCCTCACTGCGGACCTCCCAACAACATCCAATTGTTTTTGCTAGCTTTTCTGAGGGACACTGACTGTTGTAAAGAACATCTGGCTAAGTGTCCATCTCCAAAGCCCTCATTGTGGCTCTCTGACCTCACTCATATACTTATATTCCTATCATTACATTTATTCACCCAAAGTCAGTTAAAATACCAATAGATCTTTCACACATTTTTCCACCTACACATCCAAAGTATTTTTCAAACTTTCCCAACAAATCAGGCAGGAGTTCTGCAGAAGACAGCTCCACTTATCCAAGCCTGACTCTTCCCAGAGATGGTCTGCCCAGAGTAAGGTAATGGTCCTGTTGGGGGAAAAAAATGTATCACACATTATGATTCATTTGCAAGCATAATGGATTAAGGTTACAAAGACAATACATGCTTGTAACATATTAATTTTAGGCATTAGATTTTTTGCATCTTGCATCTTAACAAGCCTTCTCTGTAACAGAAAGGTCACATGGTGAAGAGGAATTGGGTATCTTCATTAATTCACTCAATTGCTGACTAGCCTTACCTGTGTCTTTTTTTTTCTGTGTGTATCAAAATTTGTTCCTCACTATCAGAAGAAACCCTACTTCCTCATTAAAGTGTTTAGTTCAACTGTATTTGACTTTTACTTGACTTGAGTGAAAAAATACCCGCTAGAACAGTAACTATGTGGGCCCTGGCAAGTACTGGAAGGACACACATGCATTCTCTACACACTGCAGCAGTTCAGTACTTCCATCTCTTTCCTGCAGACTCTGAAGATGTTTTTGAACGAACCCCTCACCCTTCGGCCATAGGTGGTTTTTGAGGTGCTTTTTGTTTCGGTATTTTTTCATGACAGAGCTGTACAAAGCTGGCCCAGGCTGCTGACCGAGTATCAAATAAATGCCAAGATTCCTTCCCCCTCTGCCCTCCCTTCCCCTTCCTCCAACTCCACTGCGAGCCGCTGACAACTGCGGAGGCAGGGGGAGGAGGGCGACGGCGGGGGACAGACAAGACCGGCACACGCACGGCAGAAGGCGGCCCAGGTTTCGGGCCCAAGAGGAATCCCATTAACCGCAGACCGCGGCTCAGCTACCGGCAGACGTGACCCCAGGACGCCTCCCCGAACAGACAGATAACAACAAAGAAAACAGAGGGGCGGAGGTGGCTGCCCCGGAGCCAGTTCCTGCTCCTCCCCTTACGCTGCTCCCAGCCAAAACAGAGACCACAATGTAAACAGAGGCAAAATGTGCGCTTATGGCAAAGCGGGGGGCAGAGCAGCCCTCTCGCTTTCCCCTGGCGGCCGCCAGGAAGGCTCACCGACCGACTCACTCCGGCTTAGGGGCGAAAAGCGAACTTATCGCGCGTTTCACACACTTTATTTATGTAAATAAAGTATTTGCCCCTCACTGCCGCTGCACCAACTCCTCTCCCGAAAGGAGAAATATCCTTCCCTAGTCCGCGGGAAACAAAGCGTTGTCTCACGCAGATGCCTCGGCCTGGAAGACGCAGCCAGCCCCCACAAGCCCCTGAGGTTATAAAAGCTCGGCAGAGGTAAAAAGAAAAAAAACAAACCAACAAAAACAAACCAACAATAAACCCCAAACAAACAACAAACAAACCTCCAAAACGCAAGCTCCTGTTCTCACTGCATTTCCTCAAAGGCAAAAAGCAAACCCACTGCCATCACGGGGGAAGAGGCAGGGCGCTGAGCCGCAGTGGGGGACGAGCAATGTCCTTACCTTGCCTCCACCCCCCACTCCGCCTGGATCTCAGGACTGGAACCTTCTCTCTTGTCGTCCTCCCCTCACCGCTGCCCTGGGCCCGCGACAGCTACATCAACCACCTCCCCTCCTCCCAACCCTTTTTGGGCCAGGGATTATTTATTACGCAGGCGGCGGGATGGAGCGGGGGGTGGCGGGGGTCGGGCAAAGGAGGAGGACGAGAAGAACGGGCTGCTGAGGGCGGACGCGCACAGCCCCCGTCCCGTGCCTCCCCGGGGCGAGCCCTCGCCCTGTCCCGGCTGCGTGAAAACAAACACCCCCACCCCCCGCTCCCCCGCGCCTGCGTGCGGGGCCCGGGACATGGGACCCGGGGCACCCGGGGAGCCGACCCAAGCTTGAGCGGCGGGGCCGGCGGGCCGCGGTCCCACCCCTTCGCCCGCAACCACCGTCCCGGCCGTCCCAGGGGGCCGGGCGCCGCAGAGCGCGGCGAGAGCGCAGCTTGCCCACCCCCACTGCGGGACACTCACCGTTCCGCAGGGGCCGCGGGCCCTGCGCGGGGCGGCAGCGCCGGACCCGCCTGGGGGGGACTGCAGGCGGCAGAGCGCTGCGGCGGCTCGGGGGCGGACGCGGAGGGGCGCGGGCGGGGGCTCGGGGCTCTGCGGTGCCGCCGCGGTGTCGGTGCGATGGACGGGACAGGGGGCGGGGCCCGACAGCTGAGAGGATGTAAACACAGCGTCACGTGACGCCGCCCCCCGCTCGCGGCCGCCGCGCGAGGCGAGGGAGAGCGAGCTGCGCCGCTCCGTCCCGGGCCCTGATTGGCCGGTTGCGGCCACGGCCACAGCCAATGGCAGGCCAGGGCTTCGGGGAGCTCGTCACCGGCCGCGCGAGGGCACGGGGGAGCCTCGTGCGCGCGCGGCGGGGCCCGGCGCGGCCGCTGCCTCCCCGACCCCCCCGCCGGCTGGGCAGCCCTGGAAGTCCCTGGAAATCCCTGCCGAATCCTGTGTCGCCGCCGCCCACTTGTCTCCCGTGGGCGGCTGAGGATGGAAAACACCGTGCTGTCGCGCGGGAGGGCCGAGCCGCGGGGGGCGGAGCGGCGGCAGGGGACGTGCGGCTGCGCCGGAGGCCCGGATTGAACAACATGCGCAAGGTGCCCCTAGTGCCCGCCCGGAACAGCTCCGCTCTCGCCTTTCTCGGATGACCCCATGCGGTGTCTCTGCAGAGTCCAGTTTGTAGGGCCGCTCGCAGGGAGCGGTGGAAAGTTCCCTCCCTCGTACCGAGAGGGAGGGCCTCGGGCTTTGTTGTTGCCGATACTCTGAAAGATAGTTTGAAAAACTACATGAAGGCAGAAGAGATCACAGGAAAAGCTCAGAGGAATAGCTAGAAATGTTAGAAGATGTCCAAAGGAGGGTTACAAAGGTGGTGAAGGGTCTAGAGGGGAAGCCACATGACTAGCTGAGGTCACTTGGTTTGTTCAGCCGGGAGAAGTGGAGACCGAGGGGACACCTCACAGCAGTCTGCAACTTCCCATGGGAAGTGGAGGGGCAGGCACTGATCTCTCTGTTGGAAATGATACAACTTTTCTAATATTTTGTAATGCTTTCAATTAAACATTTTAATTAGTTGTTTTAATTAATCATAGGTTGCGTGTTAGGTCTTAAATTACTTTTAGCCAGCCTATATCAAAAGACTGTCATAAGCAACTTTTGTGAGACGTAGCTTGGGAAATGTACTAAAATTGTACATTTTCTTAATGTTAACCTTGATATGCTTCAATGAACAAAGCCCATGAGAGAAAGATGTATTGTTGAAGATGGACATCTGGAAAAAAGGACCATTTGCAGAAAGCAGCATACAACAAGACTAACAAAGGCTCGGTATTTGTGGCAGAAGATTCCTATCGGAAGAAAAAGATACTAAAAAGACTAAAAGTATTAACTAAATAGCATAAGCAACGCGAGATTCATAACCAGTAGTGGATAGAATACTAATTAATGTAATTTGGAAACAACAGTAATTTCTTTCTTTGTTAAGAATGTATAAATAGGTGAAAGAGTAATGTGTATCTGTATGGACACAGGATTTGTCTTGGCCACATGCACACCCAGTGGTGCAAATAAAGTAACGCCTTGTTTTCTAACACTGAAAAGATTATGTTAGAGGGTTCTTTTATTCCCGACGATTTTGGAGGTATTTGACAATGAGTGAAGGACCCAAGGGAATGTCACGAAGCTGTGTCACCAGAAGGCTTAAGTTGGATATTTGGGAAAGGTTCTTCACTTAGAGGTTTGTTGGGAATTGGAACAGGCTCCACAGGGGAGTGATTACGGCACCAAGCCTGACAGAGTTCAAGAAGTGTTTGGATAACGCTCTCAAGCCCAAAGTGTGATTCTCGAGGTGGTCCTGTGAAGGCCTAGGAGGTGGGACTTTGATGATCCTTGTGGGTCCCTTCTGACTTGGGATATTCTATGAATTTGGGAAAGGAAGAAATACTGTGGAATGGAATAGGCGGGGAGTAAGTGGAAGTTGAGGCAGCGTGAGGCCCTAGTACAGGCTAGAGAAGCCCAAGGTGATGAAGAGTGTTGGGTCATCCTGAGCCCTGATCTCAGCTGAGGTTTCTCAGGCATCATCTCGTGATTTGGCCTGGAGGAATGATTAGAGATTTGGGGAGTCAGTGTGGAAAGTAGGCTCTGCTGATGTTTGGAAGAATTAGAAATTGTGCAGGTGTCAGGACTTGTAGCAGCTTGGCTAATCTGTTTTCATTGAGGAAAGGAATGAGAAACGCCTGCGGTCACTATCAAAAAAGGGATGATATTCACACTTGTGGAGCACTAAGTTTGTATTCACTGAATGATCAGGCAAAAGGTGTAGTGTTTAAGGATTTCAGGCTACTGGATGTGAAAACCTGAAGATCTAGAGTGGATGTTAAACTAATACAGTAATTTAGATAACTTGGTGACATTTATAATAATAATTTACTCTGGAATGGTGTAAGCATTGAGTGTCTTGTGAAATACAGTTGAGAGGCATAAAGTTTTGAGCTTTAGCCAAAGTTTAAGTACTGGTGGAACAGGATTTCTAAATAAAAGTCCTGAGAAATGAAGGACACGAAAGCATAGCTGGTAAGAGGCCAGGAGTGAGTATTATTCTGTTTGGGGAGGGAATTAGTTAATACCTGCAGCACACAATGGTTGTAGATGGCAGCAATTGAGGTGGAGATAGTTGGTAACATAAGGGGGAGTTTCTGTTAGGCTATGACTGAGAAAGCATTGTCTTTTGTTAGTTGGACTAAGGAATTCAATTAGTTCTTCAAATTGCCACTCTTACTGATGGCCCCTTGAATGAGAGGAGTAGGGGAAGAATAAACAAATTCCATTTTTACATTGAAATGTGCCTTGCCCTCAGATAGTAAACTTGAATAACTTTTGCTGGCTTGAGTATTGAATTTTTTCTATTAAGAATTCTTAGTTAGATATAATAAGTGTGTATAATTCCCTGTGTATTGTATGTATGAGGGTTTCCTGTTTTTCATTCCTTCTCTTTCCATCACATCCTAAATATTCTTGTGCCTGACCAACACATACTCATTACCTGTCAGACAAGATTTGTGCTTAATCAATATTTACTCAGGACAGACATATATGGCCATATTTTCCTCATTCAGTTTTAAGAGAATTTTTCAGATAGCTTTTTTTCTCTCTGCAAATTACCATGTTATGCTTGAACTGATACCTTTTTTTTTTTTCTATTTACAGTAGACGTGGATATCCAGTTAGGAAGATCATTCTGCCATCTCTCTTCAGAGCTGAGAAGAAGCTTCATCATCCAGGTCTAGCAGAAAACTCTATTCAAGCATGTACAGTTCTCCAGATCTGCTCTAACTCCTGTCATCCATTGTCAAAACAAAAGTAAGGTATGTATTTTCTGATGCAGTATGTAACTTCTGCATCTTCATGTGAAAAATATTTATTGTCACATTATTTTAAATTTGAGATGTGCATCATTTCGGAAACGTTTGTTTTCATTTAAATGTGAGTTAATATTCTCAAAAAAAGTTTAAGTATTATGTGACAGGCCCATCTAAGCTCTGTATAAACTGACTAAGTTCAAAACCTGTGTTTCCCACTTCTTAACTGAATGAAATGAAATAATGGAACCTGTCTCTTAACTGAAGCACAGGGAACATTCCTTCATCCTCATAAAACAATGGGCTGTGTAGGCTAAAGTGCCCCCAAATCTTAATCACTCTCTGCAAGTTTGGGTTGTTTTATTGTCTCTGCAAATTTAAGCATAATTTACTTTTTCAGTATTTTGTCCTGATACTTTATTATTTTCTCATCATAATTCAAATAAGGAAAGTCTGAACTGACTCCAGTGTGTCTTCACTCTCTGCTCCTAGGGAAGGTTGTAACATTCAGATGTCTAGTAAGAAAAGCACTCAAGACTGCCATTTTTTAGATAAATTTAAAATTTGCTATTGAGGTCATTAAGGTTAAGTATTTGGACTTACCTGTTACCCTAACGAGCAGAAAATTAGATATGCATAACAATTTATAATAACTATTTCAAATAAAGATCATGTCATATATATTGAGTAGTTATGTATATTTAATTTCTTATTTATGTACAAAAAATTGTTCTTTAGACTAAAACAGCATATTGGCCTTCCTAATAATGGCAGTAGCTTAAGAGCAGAGTGGCGCAAGTTACATTCCTTGAATGCAATCCTGTTAGTACAAAGCTAACAACTGATGTGTCATTTGCACTGCTTATATTTTTTGCACATCTCCTTAGTTAGTGAAAACCATTTACATATCATTGCATTTCGGGTGCTTTGATTTGAGTCAGTTTCAACTTTACTTTCTGTAGTATTGAGTAACCGTTTTCAAATATTTTCAAATGCTACAGAAAATGTACAAAACAAGTATTTTTCTTTAACATTTATTTTTAGATATATGCCATTTTCTTAATTTAAGAAAGCTTAAATCTCATAACTCACTGTCATTTTGAAGCAGTGACCATTTTCTGATTCTGCTTTTTTTCTGTAGTAAATGAAACCGGATTTTTCTGGCAGTTTTTCATTCTGTCTTTCCCTTTTTGCTTTGACTTTTATTTTTTAGGTGAATGAAAAGACGCTGTGTGCAAAGGCACAGAAACAAATTCTAATGTAGCTGTTTTAATTATGGATATTTATTGTTCTGTGGGTTACTTGCCATTCATTTTCCCTGCTGACAAACATCTGAAGACGTGTTTTGAATGTCACTTGACTTCTTCAACCACATTTGTCATACTAGTATCTATTTATATAGAGATTCAGTCAGCTTGAGAAAAAATTAGAAGATGGTGGCCCTGAGATCTAAAGAATCAGAATCTTCTTTGCTGGAAGTTACTTCTGCCTGAGTTTTTAAACTGATGCTTTCTGAAGGCCAGGAAATCGAATAAAAAAAAAAATAAAAGCAGGATGTAATGTTGTGTCTGCATGTAGTCCAGAAAGCCCATGTAAAAAAATTCTCCAGTACAGCAGTGAAAGAGAGATGAACAAATGTGGAATAGGTTATAATCAAAAAGCCATGGAAATATAAATAGATAACCAGATCCATAAAGCTAAGGTAAAATTTCTGTTTTGTCCTTAATGTTTGGCATACCTGTCATTTTTAAAATGTTTTATTTTTACATTCTTTACTCCCAGATATTTGAGTGTACCTTCTGTGGCTCTCATCTGTATCCAGCAGTCATCATGCCATTTCCAAAGCTTTATGTTAAGAAGGGAACTGGATTATGCCTCACAGAGTTCCAAACCCAAGCTGAGTCCTTTCACTTGCACATACAGAATGAATCCACTTGTAGTTAAGCTGTAAAGAACTAACTAGTCTGACTGCACAGTCACATGTTGGATTGTAACCTCCAGTCCCAGTGGGTAGTGAAACATCAGCCTGGCTCTGTAGGCTGTTGATGTGGACCTCTGAAACTGGCTACGCAGCTCTGCAGCTGCACTTCTTTCTCGTGTGGCCTGGCTGTAGAAGTAGTTTAGCCACATTTGCATGGTGCAAAATTGGCTTTGACAGGTGAGACTTGAAAGATTTCACCTCTGAGACTGGTAAGATCTACATATGCAACCTGTAGTGCTTCTGCATCTTCAACCTTGTTAATCTGCAATTTGGATAAACAAAACCAGCACAGATGTCTTAGATAAAAGTAGTTGTACGTTAATCAAGCTTTGAATCCAAATAATGTTTCCAAAAGCTCCAGAGCTAGTTGATTGAAAAAAGCATCTTTAAAAGGAGTAAATCATCATTTACTACAGGCTTTGTCTATATGCCAGATTACTTCATAGAGTATTCTTGCTGGTCTTTAAGACTTACTTGCCACTTTTTCTTTTAGATCAGCCCACTGTAGCCCCCTTCAGAGAGGCAGTTGTTTATTGTAACCTCACTAAGGCATTTGGAGTTTTTAGGACTAGAGATTTTCATTGCTGTAGATTTTGAAATACAGTCTTTGCAAACATGACTTGCATTAAGTAATTGAACAGTGTTACACAAGGTGTGCATCGCAGTCACAGTGTGCTCCTCCGAAGCACATCATATCAGCTCCAAATAAAATGTGTTGGGGTTTGAATTACATACATTTATTTGGGATTTCTGTAATCTATCTGTGCATCCCACCTCTCATGCCCCATTTAAGTGGTCACAACTTTTATCAATTTTATTAAAAGAAATGTGATACAACAGTAGCAAAAACATCTTTTGATGCCTCAAGTAAGAAGTTGTAATCACCAAAGCCGATATGCCTGCATGCATCTGGTTAGGAGAGTGCATGAGGCTTTTTCCTCTTGCCATAAAATCCTCTGCTAGGGTGGTGTTAGAACTCTCAGCACCCCTGGAGCAGTTGTTGGGAGTGCTCCTGGCTGTGGACAAAGCATGGCACAAAGCTAGTATTTTAGTTGTCAGAACATAAGCTGTCCTCAGTTCAGTTTTTAAAACACTGAAAGCACATACTAAGAAAAAAACAAAACCAAAGAAACGCAGATTTTAACTTAAAGATGCAAATAAGTAAATGAAATGAACAATGAAATTAAATGGCATCTGTGGCCATAGACATTGATCCTAAGGATGTGTCTCTCATGATCAGCTGTTTGGCCTTCTGATTACTTTTCCAAATTCCTGCGTGCGCCTTCGTGTTTTTTTCTTCTGTTAGGAACAAGCCTGAGGTTGTAGCAACAGATTCTAGTGGCCTGTAGTCACTGCTAAGTTTATAACCAAATGTTGTTTGTACATATAACAAACTGAGCACATCTATATAATGGTTGACATACTATAAAATCTAGTCACACAATCAAATATTAAATTGTTTAGAATTTGGTACTAAGACAAGTGTCTGACATTTAGGTTTCATGTGTATTACTTCTTTGTTTTCTCCATGGCCTGTGATGGGAAAAGAAATGTCTTCCTTCAGTATTTTTGCTTTTGACCATTTGTAAATTCTCTCAGATGTATATTAGGGTACAAAATTATTATGTAAGTAGAAAGTGTTCTACTTATCACTTCTGTCCTCCTCATCGATTGTAAACTGCAAGCACGAGACATTCTCCATGGAAATATGTTGATTTGTCTTTAGATGTAGCTGACAGTGAGTCAACAACAGACTCTTTATGTCAACCTTTTCTTAAATCAGTAGGGTGTTTTTCTAAATTTATAATGTTCTTTTTTTATAAGGAACATAGTCCTTCGAACCAAGAAAAATTATATGCAACCATGATTACTAGTTTGAAGACAGTCTATGAGCTTCCCTTGAATGAGTCATGTTGAAAGGAAGTTGCTCTATTTTGTATTTTAAATAGTAACAAAAAAATTATTCTGAAAATAATAAATGTTTTTACTTCAATTTTGCCTGATTATGTTAGTCAAACATGAAAGAACATGTAATTTAATTTATAATGTATTAAAATTTAACTTGTAGAGCTTCTGTTCTCTATTTGGGCTGATAATACACTATTACTAGTCCTGTTACTGATAGTCAGCTGGCCTACATGTCATAATTTCAGAGGCTTTTAAGATCAACTCTTACTTAGATACCTGATAGTTTCTAAATGCTCTTTCTTACATGTGGCTTTTATCTTTAAGTAGGAAAGATGAGGCAAGCTATCTGCATGCTGTAAATGAGTCAAAAAATGCTTGTAGTTTCGTTTCTAAGAAACTTAATATTGTGGCAAATTGAGAAGGTTAACTATATTTTTTTTCCTAAGAGAATTTAAATCTCTTAATAGAATTGAGTTGTTGGAGACATTAAGCTGGTCTTCTTTTGGACTGTATAAAACCATCCTTTATCAACAGACTATCAGAAAGACAAGGAAACAATTTCTTTTACAGAAATGATTGAAATTGATGTATTTTTTTAAGTTCATATAATATAATATTCTACATTTTAAGTAATTTTTATGAGAAATGGACAAATAATACATTATATCCAAAGGCTTACCAGGATTTGTCCTTAAGATGCAGCATGCAGATTGCTCTTTAAAGGTCTTCTAACAGAACGTAATCTTTTCTTTTAGCCTCCTCCAAACTCCTGATGCTTTCCAAAAAAAACAATTGATATTTTTCTCCAAATTTGGCAGAGGTTTAGCAGCTTTTTTTTTTTTTTGCTTGTTTTTGCTTTTTGGATGATGTAATTGACTATTATTAAGTCTTTGATATATGTACAGATGGCTGGGGCAGTAAAAGTGAAACTTCATAACTGTGTCTGAGGTGCACATTATTTAGTAAGTTATATGAAAATAGATTGTTAGGAGAGATGTAAAGCATCTCTGGAACAGATCTGTTCTCAACCAATTAATTAGAGTGCTTTCCTAGAGTCCCTCATCTGTGGTTGCACTCCACAGGTTTAAGTATATAGTAGAAAAAATTAAATGGCTTGAATATTCACCCCTGTTCTATTCCTCTGGCTCTTGGAGTAGTGGTGAGAAAGATAAAAATTTTGAGATGTTTCCTAGGTAAGATACTCATGTCATGGAAATCAATTAATTGACTATGGCTATGGGGAACAATGTGCATTTTTCTTTTTGACTGCACAAGTCTCTCTTTGGCCATTTCTTCAGCTGTTTCTACTACCACTAATGGCAAGATGTTTTCTGCCATCTGCTATTCTCATACAAATCACAGCTAGACCCTTTGTAGTGGGCAGAGTGGGAGCTTCAGACAAAGTTTATTAAAGAAGCCCTCCCGCTGCTCAGTCACAGGGTGCAGAAAGGACTCCCTTGCTTTCTAAACTACTTCTCAGAGAAGCCTGGGTGCATCTGGATCCCATCTTAGCCCCAGACTTTGTCAACAGTTTATGTCTAAAGGATTACATAGGTGTAATTGAACCTTTATACAACTTTATCCTGCAGGATTAAGGATGGCAAACCATATATATATATATAAACATATATATTCGTTATTATGGTAATGATTAGACAAAAAGATCTCAATCAGAATTATGTACTACACAATATAGCACTATTATAATATAGCACACTATGAAAAAATGTTGAAGCAATTAAGTTTAAACTATCATATTAAAGCTAGAAAAACAATTAATAAGTAGAGATTGATGTTACTCACCCATGCTAATGACCGTGGGCAAATCTCTTTTGCTCAGCCTCAGGGAGTAACCTTGAGGGCATCCCCACTCAGGGGAGGAATCTCTGTACAACACACTCCAGGACGACACTACCGTTAAAATTTGGGACTGGGCTTTTATAGTAGTGTACTGTTAGTCATATATCTCCAGGCCAGCTGTGTCAGCTTAGCAGCTTTAGATAAGTTTTTAGTAGTATTGCTTGTTTATTCCTTTATCTGTATACTTCACCAGGTCTACCACATCTTCATGTCACTATCAGGATGACTAACTTTGGGATTGATGAGCCAGATTGGTTTCAGCAGTATTCAACACCAAAAGCAGCATGACAACCCCTTCTTCATTTACTACTGGTAGCTTTGCAATTAGGGCATCGTTTGAGTTGGTTTACCCCATTCTAGGCAGAGCACCCTTGTGTGTGCATCTTGGAAGATTACTAGCACATTTTGAAAAGTTCTGAAAAGCAGAGCAGCTGAAGTGGGGAAAAAAAGAACAAGATATTGAAGGCAAGTTTTGTAACTGAGTATGCTAATAGCGAGTGGTATACTTGAGCTGCTCCATGCACAGCTGTTTCCATGATATGCTGAATGCTTTCAGGTGCCTCACTTGTAAAAGAGATTCACTTTTGACAGGAATGATGGCTACTGAGTGCCAGGGAGCAGCAAAAGCAGGACTGCAAGCTTAAAAGTGAGCCAGGAGCTGAGAGCAGCCACAGCACAGGATGAACAGTGCCCTCATTGCCAGGGCACAGTCCAATTGCACCTGAGCTGAATAAGCAGAGCAGGGTGGTAATAGCAATAGATCTTATGAAGAGACCATGTGGCAAAAGCAAGGCAACAAGCCAGAGCAGCGATGTGAGGATGAGGATTGTAGGTAACACCTATAGGATAGAGCAGCCTGAGGCTAAATGAGTCTTCTGAGGTCAGGGGCTCATGTGGAGTCTTACCAGGACTACTACAGCCTCTTGGTGCATTCAACCATGATACTGAGCTTTTCAAATGATCAAGCCCAAATGGAGCTCTTAAATGACATAACTTGGCAGACCAAACTTTGCAGTGAATACATGAGTACAGAGTGTAATAATCAGATTAATATTGTACTGATTAGTCATGTTTAAGGTATGCCAAGTTAAAAAACGTCTAATAGTTTCAGAAGACCTTAGGTAGGCATTTGGTCTCTAATAAAAATTCTTTGTCTAACTGTTGTGATAAGAAATAGGTTTGTGATCTCTCTCATTTATTTGGCCTAATGCATATATCTTAATGTGCAAGACAAGGCCAAGTAAGTAGACTGGTGCTTGTGTTAAGCTTTGAGTAAATGCCAAAAACCAGTGTTTTCTCCTTACTGCATATTGTTAATAGTGGAAGATCTTGTTAAAGCCAACTTGTTCTTGCATGCAGCTACAGGATTGAGCATTTTGCACTGCAAAATATCTGAGTAAGTTCCTAAATCTCCACCCTTTAAATCATGTGAAAGATTGTATTATGGTGAGATACTGGAAGAAGCTGCCCAGAGAAGCTGTGGATGTCCCATCCCTGGAAGTGTTCAAGGCCAGGTTGGATGGGGCTCTGGGCAACCTGGTCTAGTGGAAGGTGTCCCTGCCCATGGCAGGGAAGTTGGATTAGATGATCTATAAGTTCCCTTCCAACCCAGACCATTACATGGCAGTTCTCAATTTTCTACTAACCTAAAGAAATAAAAAACTAATCAAATATTTGGCAACAAAAAAACTGTAAAGTTTCATAGGGATTATTGCCTTTAACTGTTTTACCCAATATCTAATTTTTCGTACAATTACATGAAAAAAAAAAAGTACATTGAAAAAACATGGTATGAGAGTGTGAAAATTACTCTGCTAAGTCTACAACTTCTCAAGTAAGATAATAGCCTGAAATCAATGGGTTGACACACAAGTCATTCACAGCATTTCTTCTTGTGTGCACTTTGACCCTTCAGTGGCAAGAAAGTGTTCAGTGGACTCTGAGTTAGAAAAGTGTAAATGTTTTCTGCTAACAGTATGCTATACATTATAACAGTGGTAGAATCTGATTCTGGAACAATTAAAATCTCATTATTATTATTATCTCATTATATTAAAGAAAGAGAACACAATTCTTTTATATGTTAAATTTGTCTCTGTATGACTTAATAGCCTGCTACTGAAGCAGGCAAAAATGCAATGATAATATAAACCTTGTTTTCTTCCCCCAAGGTATGAACTGTGTTTAACTGAATTGATGTGCTTTTTTGCATATTCTGGGATATAATAAATTGGAATCTGCACTCATAAAAATGTATACAGTGTATAGGAAATGACTTGTTAATATTAGATAATGCCCTCTATTTATTTCTATTTGCCTTTTTTTTTTAAAGCCTGTAGGTAATTTTTAGGTGTTTCAGAGCTTCACATAACCATTTCCTATTGAAAAAATAGAACTCAAAGCTTATTCTAGATCACAGTTAAATCTAGCTGTGTCTGGTAAATGTGCATATTTAGATTGTGCCAGTATCAACTTAGATCAGTGAACAAAGTTTACACTTAAATCTCACTTTGGCTTCCATGTAGTTGGTAATTGCAGAGCTCTGCTGATTGAACACTGCTGTTCTCTAGAAAGAATGCTGCAGAATAGAAAATGAAGCTCAAGGACTTTCCTTTCTGTGAGAAAGCGCAGAAAGGAACAGGTTACCCAGAGAGGCTGTGGAGTATCCTCCTCTGGAGATGTTCAAAAGCTGTCTGCACACAATTCTGTATAACGTGCTAGAGAGAACCCTGTTTGAGCAGAAAGGTTGGACTATATGACCTCCAGTGGTCCCTCCCAACCTGACCCATTCTGTGAAAGTAACTGATACTTTTTCTTGATGTACTTTTTTTCACCTGAATAAACCTGAATTTTTGGCATATAATAGCAGACTGAACCCATAATGAACACAAACTTAGTGATTAAAAATATAAATAGAATAGCATCCAAATGGTTTCAAATCTCTGGAGCCACAGAAGCCACTAGGCACTACCTAGCATGTAAATAAGCACCTAAATAAGCACGTAGCTAAAACTTGTATGACAAATTATTTGGTATACAACTGAGTTCATGGTGTTTCTTCAAATACATCTGTATTAAGGGTAAAATTCCATAGATATATATATGTAAAAAATAGGTATACAGTACATGCAGTGGCAAAACAAAAACACCCCACACAACTCAGACTATTTGATCTCGCTCCACTGTGTTCATATACATCTTTTAACATTACAAAAATTAGATGAAGGCTACTGCATTGCTCTTTGTATCTTTTTTTGTATCTTTTTGTATCTTTTATGATAGTATTCTTTTTGTATCTTTTATGATCCTATTCTGCCTTCCAAAAGTTGCCAGAATCTTTAGATTACTTTTTAGGTGTATAAAAGAAAAAGAAGTAACAGTAGTTTCACTCAGCTGTGAAGAGGAGAGAGTAGAAGCATCTTATTTGCTGGAATAATTCACAAGGAACAGATTTTAGAAAGCCACAATGGAAGATGCATCATAGATATCTAAGAGTTGTTCTGAATAATTTTACAAATGTCATACTTTCTTGGATTCTAGTTTAGGATTTTTTCTTCTCTGTTATGACACAGAAGCAGCTTTAGACATTGCTTAATCCAACTTTATCTCAGATCCTTAAAAATTTCTGTGAAACTTTTTGCTTGCAACTTTTGGGCCCTTTAGACCTTGACTGTCAGAGTAGCTTCAATTCCTTGTGTAATGTGGGTATGCTGCTGTTGCAAGTTCATCTAGTCAGGTGACCCTGAGGCTTTTTTCATGGTCTTTCATTTGGTGCTATCTTTACTATCATTGACATTAATAAAGTCAGTGTACTACCTTTCTTTATTCTGACTTTCTACCCTGCAGGGGTAGATACTGAGAGTCCAGACTGTAATAAGCACTTGATTTGTGACTCAGAGCTGCAGGGGACTGTAATGTCTGAAGACTTAGAGTTAGAGGATGAAATATACTCTTCACTCTTCATTTCACAGAAAAAAGAAAAGACATGGAAACATAAAGGTAAGGACCCAGCATTCTAATAATGTTGCCATCTTAGTGAGTCATGATGTAAACTTTTGAGCATGCTAGGATGTAAATCTGATCTGCTATAACCAGTTTCCAAAATTTCAAACCAACTTAATACATACATTTTATCTGAAGCCATAACAACTTTAAATATATATATAGAGAGAGAAAAAATTAACTCTGATAAATTTATTTCTTGAGGGCTATTATTTAAACACACTCTAAATATTCTTAGGGTTATTCTAGCACACTTTTTTTATGATAGTCACACTGATCAGTAACACCCAAAGATGGTGTTTGTGCAAAGTACAATAACATCCAAAATATCTTCATTTTTTCATCTGCCTAGTCACAGAATGTAAATTCTTTAGAGAAGGCTGATGTCATTACATGGGTTTATTACTGCATCCTATATAGTTTCTGACCTTAGTGATGTAGTCATCCTTCTGCTGACAGCTCTTCTGATTTTGGTAAAAAATTACTTTCAGAAACATAGTTCATTGGTTAGAGCAAAGGAAGGGAGGAGTTATGTTGCACTACTCATAATTGTTATTAATTCTCAATGAGCTCTTAGATCTGTCAGAATATTTATATTTAATAACAAATTCTATGAAATACCTTATTTATGTCAGCAAAGTATTGAGGAAATTTTATTAAAATGCTGCAGAGAGATTTGTGTTTAGTCAGCATCCAACTGTTGTTCTCCCATCTGGGATGTTAAGACCAGAGAGCTTGATTTCTTTAGATTATTTTTAGATTATTTTTCTTTGAAGTGTAATACAGCAGCATTATAGTGCTCACAGAACCCAAAAGCTCCCAGACCTGAAACACTACAAAAAGGCTGGGAAGAACCCACAAACTGGTGGGTTTGTGGGTTCTTCCTCCTTCAAAAGGAGTTCCTTCAAAAGGAGTTCTTCCTCCTTCAAAAAGAAGATAGGCTCTGTTTCTCTAAAAAGACTTTGCTCTGTCAATCAATTCATGTAAGTAAACACCTTTACCCATAGAGAAAATAAAGGTGTATGGCCTTCATCATTTTGGCTCACTTTTGTTCTATTAAATACCGAAGACTTTAATGGAAGCTGAAGGATAATTTTTAATACAATTAAATAACAGTGAAGTAATGATACTTTTCATTCCCATAGCTTTGAAATGTAAAGATAATTATATTCAGAGATCTCTGTAGAATAGACATGTATCATTATCCTTAGAGTACAATGAAGTACAGCAAGGTTAAATAAATTTCTCAGAATTAGAAAAAAATACTCTATTATAGAATAGTACTCTAATTTCTTGTCATCTTGTTCTATTCTGTTTTCACAAGATCAGCCTTTATTAAGTTGTCATCTGAATCACCTTTAGCAAGTTATACCCGTGAAGAATTTAAATGAAAGGCTTCTAAAGTTTATTTAGGAAATTAACTCTCAAGCCAGACGATAGAAAAAGCATTGCACTGAGGATGAGTTTTGTGAGATATACACAGTTTAAAGTTCTTGACATACTGCTTTGTTGGATGCAAATTTCTTGTGGACTTTCTTTTCATGACTGAAACGCTTACAAAAACAAAACCCAAAATGCCATGATATAGGAGAAATAGCTGGGTTGTGGTACTGCTGGGTTCCTCTAAGCAGAACAAATGCCCTGCTGCTGTAGGGAACCTGAAATACTGGTTGCGTCCTCTGGTAGCTTTTGTAGTACAAGCCCTATATTTTTTTACAAGGTGAAGAAGAGTGATCTGTAATTCATGACATGCAGGGACAGAGCTCTTGGCTTTTCTTTGGAACCTCTTATACTTGTTTGTGTCTGACTATGGGGAGTTGGGCAAAACAGGGATACCCAGCATTTTTGGTTTTTAATTCTTGATGGATCTCACCAGATTTTGTAGACTTCAGGGTGAAATCGCTAGAAGCAAAACAGTCTCCTGGCAAAATTATATGATAGATATACAGTTTAGGCAACTTTACAAGAAAAATAAGGCTTAAATTCAGTGTTTTTTTCCTTTGGGGAAAACAAAACAAGACAAAACAAAATAACTTTAATATTAAGCTGTATAGACAATATACCAAATGGGGTTCCTCAAGTGAGTAAAAATTAACAATTTCTGCTTAGATTTGTCTTTAGGGGTATGACATTTGGGTGAGTTCAAAAGCTGTTTTCATGAGTTTTTGCAAATATCTTCTACAGCAAAATTTAGCTCCTTTCACCAGCCATCACTGCAAGTTGCCAGGAAAGTGTCAGAATTCTTCTCAGTAAATCAGTTTCTACAAATTTGTCCCAGGTAGAAAAAAACATTTGCAAAGAAAATGAGTCTTATGACTAAAGGAAAAAAGTAAAAAATCTAGTGATGTGGAAGGAAAAATAGTCTTCTTGCTGAAGGGTATTTAATTTTATCTTTGTAAATTTTTAAGATTATTATTTGTATCCTTGTAGTAAGTTCTACTGTTTACTGACCTTATAGTTGGTAAGAAAACATGATTTATGACCTCCAGGATATTTTTGTGATAGATGAGGATGAAAAGATTGCTACACTCTCTGAAAGAGAATTTCTTCTGTTTCTCTCCAATATTTTCACTGCCTATTTTGCATCTTATAGATTATCAAGCTCTGTAGTCCATGCTTAAGTAAGTCCATACAGTTGCACCTTGCACCCTGAAAACAATTGGTCAAAATCAGTTATTCCTTCAAACACCAAATGCCAGTAATGAGGCATACTGGTGACGAGTGGACCTCAGCCTCAATTGGTAGTTCAATTTTAGGACTGTAAAAAAAAAGCAAGTAGTGCTTTTCTGCCAGTGGCTCCAGATATATCACAGTTCTGTTAGCAGACTGCATGCCTTGAGGTCTTAACACTCTGCTGTTAGAATGCCTGGTACTGTAAGGAGAAGAATGCCTGGTACTTTAGAAAACACAGAGACCATGCTTGAAAGGTCTCGAAGATCTAGTCTGAAGTTCAAAGCAATGCTGCATTCTTAATACATAGAGGAATTGTGATGCTGCGTGTGCATCTCTGTGGAATAAAGCTCTCTTGCGTGGATTCTTATTTTGGGAAAGAGGTTTTTTAGGAGATTTAAAACAAAGCTTGTTACAAAGAAGAAAAGCATTACAAGCTTACACATTGCTTGGAAAGCATTTATTCTATAAGAACACAATTTAATAAAAAAAAAAAGGCTTTTTTGGGGGGGATTTGTCATATCAAACTCTAATGTAACAGACCTGACTCCAGAGTCTGTTGCAAAACCTCTATTGCTGGACTGGCTTCTGTCAGAATCTATGTAGGTTTTTCCTGCAAACTTATGCAGTAATCTTTCCATTTTCAGTTTGTGCACAAGCCCTAACTCAGAACTTGCAGTCCTAGGGCTAGTCAAGCTTCTAAGTCCACTGCTCCAGGGACTTAGTGAAGGTCATTCAGCATCTTTGTCTACAAGGCAAACTAGGATGTGTCACAGATGGGAAGGAGAAATATCTAGACATTTCTGTTCATTTAGAAAAGGATTGTGTCTGCAAGCATAATGCCATTAATTTTCTTTCTCAGAAGTTTTCTAAGTAAAGAAATGTCAAAAGGCAAAACCCTGAGGGAACCGTTCTGGTATGATTTCTTTTATATTTAAAGATAGTGTTCAAGAGAGGCAATACACTTGTTAAAAGGGTAGGTGTTTTATATGAAGTGAAAAATGGAAGACATTCTGTAAAAGACTTAAAAACAAATTCATCACTTCACACATAAGGCTATCTAGAGATGAGATTTTGGCACAGCATTTGAGGATAAATGGCGTGTCTGTTTGATCAAAGAAGTGTTTTGAGATTAGCTGAATATTAAATATGTAAATATACTCGCCTCTAACAGGTGTGTAATTGGCAAGAATGATCAAAGTATCCTTTCAAATCTCTAGACAGATACTAAGTATGCATCTTCCCGTGTTAAAAATTGTATTTTTTTTTTTTCTTTTTAAAGGAGCTTCTTCATCTGCTCTCCCTGGGGAAAAAAAAATCATGCTGACAAAGACTTCTTTTGAAAAGCTGGAAGAGGAACATTTGCTGTGATATATTGATCCTTTGGAAGCAGCTGATAGTGGCGAAGCCCACTCCATCACCTAGGAGTCTGACAATCCTGGTAACAGGCTGGCCAAACGGCGTGAACCTGATTTTTGCATTGCTTACATCCCTGTGCTAGCAGCTGTTATCATAGTATTAGCCTTCTGTAGTCCTCATGTAACCTCTTGAAACTTATATGGGCTCCATGCTCTGAGACTACCTGCCAAATATTTAAAAAAAGAATCATCATTACCTCTCTCTTTCTATTCATTTTCCACCTGGGGAGAAAATAGCTTGATTAGTTTGGGTGATGATAGGAAGCTGGAGGAAATCCAATCATGATTTTTCAGTGTGAAGGGTTTATTTCCTTTCATTTCATTCATTTCCATTCAGCTGAAGGTAATGAGGTTATGCAGGTCTGATTTCAAAGGGCACAATTTTGAAATGATGGGTTTTGCTTAGGTACATTATAGCTTTAAATTGGTGATTTTGATGAAGTTGCATAAACTGGAGTATAATGCAGTTTCTTTCCCCCAGAGATATGGTGGCTCAGCAGGGAAGATATGCAGTGATATTTTTTCTTTTTCTTTTTTCTCTCTCCCCACTAAAGTGCACAAGAACAGATCTGCTGAGTAGGAAGTGCTATTTTTACATAATCACTTTTCAATCCAGATCCTCACTGTAGACATTTTGAAGAGACCAAACTAAGCATCCTAATAGTCACTTCTCCTCCAGCTGCAAAACTGCATACAAGAAGCTGTAGTGTAGGTCATTTAATAATTTAATAGTCTCCTCTTTATATAATTCTGCTGTCAACTAGCTGAAGTATTTCCCAATAAGTGTTCTTCACATTTCTGGGGTTAACCATCCAGAAATTCCTTGTTTACATACAAACAGCTTATGATTGCCAAAAGAGATTTTTGAAATGTAGGTATCTAAAAAAGAATGTAAATGTGGTTATTTTGTTTTGAAAATTTTTTAATTTACTGGGATGCATTACCATAACATCTGAGTATCTAATTTATTCTCATAATCAGCCCTTTGAGACAGGGAAATGTTATTATTGTTATCCTCATAATTCAGATGAGAAGTGTTTTGCTTAAAGCCATCCAGGACCTGCATAAAAGAGAAGGGAGATAAAACCATCTTTCATATTTCAATATGAATTGTTCAAATTCTAATGAAGTAGCAAACATGATTAAAGTGCTTGTTTACAAGCTGATGCAGGGGCATCTCTTCCTTGACCATGAAGAGTGACTCCTATCCTCTCACCTCTTTTTTTTTTGACTCCCTCCAGTTGCTGCCTATGACCAGTACTTCTTATTCTTTGCACCAATATTAGTGAGAGCATATTTTACCCCATGTGACTTAGGCTAAATTTCTCTTGCTATAATCTGAGATGACTGTTATTCACTCCCTTCTATCTACTGTTTATCTAAAGAAAAAAACCCAATTGTGTCATAAGCAAAACAAACAAAAAATAACCACCCAAAACACATTCATGAGTCATAGACCTGATAAGCATGTAGTAACATTAACAATTCAAAACACTTGTTGAAAGCCATCCTTTTGGTTAGAGAGCATAACTTTTCAATAAGTTAATTACTGATTTAGATATGAATGAAAATTTACCACATGCATACTTAATCTTTCTTCATAATTTCTGCAGAAGTTTTTACATAAGAAACTTTGGCTCACATGAGGCAAATGAACTTCTTTTTATGCCACCTGGCTTTCTGATATGCAGTTGACATTAAGAGAAAAAAGGGTCAAGTGTCAGCAAAAGCAGTAAGAAATAAAAGATATTTTGAAGGCTTCCTCCATCTCTTCCTTCCAATATGAAAAAGAAGATATTTTTCCTTATTCCTGAGAGCAGTCTCCTTGACTTTGATAGCTCAAATTTCAGAGCACCTGCATAAGTTTTTTTAGCAGCATAGCACGGGACTGCAGTGCCCATATCCAGACGTGGGTTTTGAGCCAAGTTCTAGTTCAGTGACTTACAGGCTTTGTGGGTAGAAGTCACAGTCTGCTTAAACTCAAAGCAGTTTTTGTTTGCATTAGAGACTCACAATTCAAATACTGTCCTTATTAGCCTTAGAGTTTGAATTAATATTGCCCCATAGTTTCTTACTGATATATCTTCTACCTATCAGGACAGCTGTTCTCAAGACCAATTAGCCTTTACTTCCTAGCACAGTCAGTCCTGTTCATAGAGCAGCCTAGATGATGCTGAAAGTTGAGATCATTTTAGGATTAGCTGGACAAGGCTTTCTCTCATCTATGACCAACAAAGTGTTTTGCTGAGTTCTGAAACAAGCAGAAGGAAAATGTACACAAAGTGTCAGTGAGTCATTTGTGGACATGCCTCTGGGCATTTTTCCTTTTCTGAGAGGCATTTTTCCTCTAATCCACTGAAGCTGAAGGAAATAGTATTTTAATTTTAGGACTGGACTTAAATGCAAACACTGTACTTTTAAATCTTAGATTTATGATATACATATTAATAAAATATGCCAGTATTCAAATAAGGAAGCAAACCCACAATGGATGAACAAGCAAGTCAGTACATCCTACCCGGTAATGATATGCTGAAAACACCTTGAAAATGACCACATGGGCTTCTGCTCTCTAAGCAATAGATGTAGGTCACTGCACATCCCTGCCTTGTAAAGAAACAAATAACTATTATGCTATGTTTACATTCTAAGTTAAGCAGTCATTACAAAGTTAAGCAGTCATCTACAAACTTGGAAAGCTGGATGCTTTGTATAATAAAAAGATTTAGCTGCTATATTCTTTACATCCTTGTGTAAAAGTAAGTTCCACTGAAGAAATTACTTTCCATTCTTCCTATTTGATGACTTATGCATATTTTAGATTTTTTTCTTTTCTTACATAACAAAGTTTAATCAGCAACTTCAATTCAGTATTTTTGTAAAAATAAATGTATTATTTTACACAGTTTATTCAGTAATCTTTAGTTTTTATGCATTTTAGAAATATAGATGATTCCAAACTTTGTCTGCTAGGTTCAATAAAAAAAATTGTTTACACACATTTATTTATTTATTTATTTATTTATTTAAGAACATTCTAGAAAATTGCTAGTATGCTACACTGAAGGAGTGTATATTAGATTATCTGGTAACATATAATTAGGCATTGATGCATTAGGACGTGAACTCACCTTTTGTATTTCTTTGCCTGAAGACCCTATTTCTATCAGAAGAACAGAAATACAATAAAATACATTACTTGGTAAAAAAATATTGTTACATAACTTAGTTTTGAATATTGAGATGGGCAATAAAGTTTTTTTATATGTGAAGCTAAGGGCTCATTCCAAGTGCTGCTAAAACTCTCAGACTTTGGGAAGAAAAACCCCAACATTAATTCAATGCAATGCAAAGCTGCATAGAAGTGCACAGAATTATGACAAATGCTGTTTTCTTTGTCTTTTCCCTGGTTATTTTCTTTCAGTTTAAGTGACACAGAATATACTACCTAAGGAGTCTTTCTGCTGTGCCTTTTGCAATCGGACATGTCTATCTCATATTGGCCTCATAAGCCACCAGTGTGCTTGTAACAAATGTGGATAGAGCCTTTCCCAAATCTTCGTTCACGAAGCCCAGCCATGATGAAGAAGTGACACGGTTAATTTTTCTTGATTTCTAGAAAATTACAATTCATAGGTATAAATTTAGAGGCTGTCTATATGTTAAGCTCTTTGACATGAAAAGAAGTGTTCAGAATCCTTAGACAGGATTGCAGACTTGCAAAAATGAAAGCATATTTTTCTAATATAATTTTTAAAGTACAAATGTACTCTCAGCTGTGCCATATTTCTGTAAGTAATGATATGCAAAAGACTGGCCCCTCAGCTGATGGACTTCAGTATTACTTAATGCTAGGAAAGCAAAATCCCCGTAAACACATGGCTCACTAAGTAGAAAAAGTCTGCAGTGTGTTAGCTAAGGCATAGGACAAATGAAACCTAAAACTATGCAGTTAATAGGTGAAAAATCAACACGCTCTTAGTTTTTCCTCAGATTCAGCTGTCAAGAAGGGAAAATATGTCTTCATAATTTATTTTCACTCTTTGTTTACAAGTGAGAACTATTTTCCCAGTAAAGGAACTACTGGAATGAAAGAGCAGTTGAGAAATACCCGATAGACACTGTGCTTGGAATAGTTCTGTTTGTATTAAGCTTTTGATTAGTAATATGAAATGTCTAACATCCTAAGAAGGCTAGAAGAAGAATTTCCCCTTGCTTTCAAGTTGTTTACCAATCTGCATTTTTTGAGGCATGTAATGCCCTCTGGTGGTTCACGAGCTTTATGGCAAGTTAAAGTACTGGAAAAATGGGAATTAACGGTTGGGTGTTCTTCCTTTCTTTCCCTCAGATAGCTCAGTCACAGAGCTTTTCTTGCGATCTACAGTTTTGATAATTCTTTTGGCAAGCCGTTGAGGCTTTACTCAGAGCTGCTTCAAAGAGGATAAAGCTCTTGCAGCCCTGTCATGAGCGAGCTGTACTCCCTTGGAATAGGAAAAAATCCTGCCAGTGCTGAAGCAGAGCTTAAGTCAGATTGTACTCTGAATTGCTCTGTCATAGGACTAGAAATAAAATACATGTCTTTTTCATGATTTAGTCCAGTGTATCATTGCACAAAGAGGACCAGATAGTGTTTTGTGAACATTGTAATTTTTTTAGAACAGGGGATGAAAAGGTGATTGAAAAGATGATGAATAGAGAATTGACATAGGCAATCTCTTCCCCTACCCTGCTCTCCCTCCCTCCCCCAGTCCTATCTGCCTGATACTGTCTTTCTTTGAAAAACTCTAAGTAGAATTATTAATTAAAAAAACTAAAGTAAAATATATGTGAAGTGGTAACTGGAAATGGACTTCAAGCTGCAAGTAAAAGCACCATCTCTGGCCATTTTATTCATGTAATGTAACAATAGTTTTATGCTCTATCTATCAAAAGGACAGCAGATAGATGCTAGATAAATGGATATTTTTTCTTGACCTAAATTGTTAAATATAGAATTGTTAAATATGTCTTTCAAACAGAGAAGTCACTTTCCTATGTCAAAGACCATCAATCTTAAAAGTTTTTAACCTTTACACCCAAGGCAAGATACCAAATATTAGCAAGACATAAAAAGAAAAGGAAAAGAGCCCACATCATTTATAACTTACAGGATTCCAGCAGAGGAGAAAGAAGAGTGGATGCATGAGACTTTCTGAA